TAAAAAAAAACTAAATTTTTTTCCATCACAAAAAATACATAATGAAAATCACACAAGAAAGCAAAATATGCCATTAATGTGAACAACCAATGACAGGACAGCGTCAAAAATTGCTGAAAAGCTAAACAAAATAAGCCAAAAACAATAAAGAAGAACATGTAAATGTTAGCAAAACAAAAAACACAAATTAAAAATCATTTGTAGTGAATTAATAAAATTTATTAGAAAATACTGACAAAATATAGAAGTTATAATAACAGAAACATACTAAAAAGTTGATGCCGCGAAGAAAATGATTTATTGTTCTTATATTTAATAACACATAAGAGATGTTTAAGCAACCATTCAGTAAAACAAAAAACACAAATAAGTACTTATTGGAATTACAAAATAAAAAAAATCGAAGTAAAGTTGGAAAATAATGAAAAGGTAAGGAAATTGTAAGAGCCATGGCCACATTAGCGAAGGAGCGGAATGTAAAAGTTGGAGTTGATCAGCGAAATGTATAACAGCTTAAGGAAAGTAAAGAAAAACAGTAAATAATGCACAGAGAATGCAGAAAAGTCAGACAGTCACAGAGGTTAATAAGAGCAACTATGAAACAAAATAAAAATAATAATAAAACAAAAAACCAAGCGAGAAAAAATTAATTGACAAAAAACAACAAAAAGTCAAAAATAATTGGCAAAAACAAACAAGTCAAAAATAACTGACGAAAAATCAACAAAAGCAAGTCAAAAATAACTGGCGAAAAAACAAACTATAAACAAAAAAAAAAACCACAAAGAGCAAGTCAAAAAGATACAAAAAATCCCGAATTCAATAAAAAATTAAAGACATTTCAACAGACTTAAAACTTACTAAAAAATTTACAAAGGACAAAACAAGTACTTGAATATGCAACTTCTTGCAGCTAAATATGCGTGTTAAAGTTTCAAATATCTTTCAAAAACCTGCAAAACCATGTAATAAGTACCGAATACTGGTCAAAAACGTTCATAAATACGCTTACGCTTAAGTTTCAAAACAGTATTAAAAATATATATTTCTGCAAACATCCAAAGCATTCAAAAATGCATTCTGACATTCGAATATAACAAAAAAACTACTTATGCTTAAGTTTAAAAACAGTTTCGAAAATATATATGTACTTCTGAAACGGTTTAAAAAGCGTGCAAAAATGCATTGTGACATTAGAAAATCATATAATATACGCTTAAGTTTAGAAATTTTTTCAAAAATATACATATTTTACTGAAAACGTTTAACAAGCGTAAAAATTTATGCATTTTGGTTTTCGAAAAAAGCGTGTCAAAATGTATTATAGCATACGAAAATCATGCAAAAAGAACTTACGTTTAAGTATTGCCTAAAATATATATTTCTGAAAATGTTTATAAAGCGTTCAAAAGGCATTTTTTTCGAAAAGTTTTTGAAAAAATATTGACTAACAGCTTGTGTTTTGAGCGCTTAAGTTTTTGGAAAATTTAAAAAATACACGCCAACGAATTCGAAAATAAACGCATAATTGTAAAAATGTCAAAAGCGCACTAATAACGGACTGTTTATAAAAAAATACACAAATGCATTGAAATTAAAGATTATTAATAATTACATAATTTTGCAAAAATTATATGTATTTAAAAATATTTTAATTTTTGTGCATTTGTGCCTTGCGAAAAAACTAAAATTTCAAAAACATAAATGTTTTGTAAACGGCTTAAAAATATAATTAAATAATATAAGCTCACATTTTCACAAAATCACTATAACACACTCACTTACGTACCATAGCCAATATTTCACTCAAAATACTCGAAATACGCTTGCATGCACTCACTTGTACAATAAGCATTTTGTAGCCAAAGCAGATTTTCAAAGTAAAAAAATGCAAATATTGTTCAAAAGTAGTCTAAAATGTATTTTGGACTTTCTTTGTGCAGTATTCGTGTATAGAAAAAAAAATATAATCGCTTTGGTTGCAAAAGCAAAAATAATTCAAAAAACTCAACTCTGCATTTTTTCACATTACAATAACAACTCACAATACCGCAATAAAGGGCAATTGTTAGACAAATACAACACTATACAATTTTCGAATTCTATAATTCACTGCAACTTTAAAATCTAAACTTTAACTCATTAAAAAGTGCAACGCACATTACGAGAAAAAAAACAAAAACAAAATATATATATATATGTATTAATTCAATTTATATAGAAATTTGTCAAATTAAGTAGTAGAAAATTGCACCAAAGCGCAACAAACATACACACACAACAACAAATGCAAAAAACAAAAACAATACCGGAAAATCAATTCCAAAACAAAAACAATAAAAAGAATTAATTGCAAAAACAACAACAAAATAATGCTAATTGCGAAAACAACAACAATAATAAAATTAATTGCATAACTCACAACGACACATTAAATTTCAATTTCATTGATTATAAAACAACAACAGCATGCGATTTCAGTGATTTTCGAACTTAAAATTCGTGTGTAATTCGTTAAAAACCAATAGTTGCAACATTAAACCGTACACTGACCACTAAAAGAATCAGGAAGTATTAAATTAAAAAAAAAATAAATAAATAAATTGTATCTCAACAAAATTTAGTGAATTGAAKTGAAATACCAAAAACAAAAAAACACGAAAATCTTTATGTCACCGCCGTTGAATTGAATAAGTATTTAAAAATAAATAATAATAATTAATTAATTAATATGTATTAATGATTAATGTATGGCATTTAAATTGGTGGTGTTCACAGCTTGAATGAGAAGCGCCAAAGTACCGTCAAACTTAAGTGAAACTGAAAAAATTGCACGGCAAAGTATTTTACTTTTGAAAATTGTACGAATTGTAATGTTGAAATAAACAACCATAAAAAACAA